CACTTAACCGTTGTAACTTATCTTGAAGACTAATGCTACCCGACTAAAAAATTCCGGAGTGGGAACTTTACGTTTGTTGTTGCCAAGTATTATTTATGTCGCGCATTTTACTGGTTAGGTCTTTTCTAATCCATTTGTAGAGTTCATTTTAGTTTCATGTTGTAAATATGTTTGGGACATGTGATATTTCTTGAACTGCATATTAAATATATTACTTTATGCAATAGTGTCAAAAAGACGAACAGATGACCGGTGATTACTCGTCCGACCGGTAACATGTTCATACAAAGAGCACGAAAAGTCGCTGAGGTATTTGCTTTTACCTCGTTATCTTTATTCATTTATTTTTGTCAATCTATGGCAACAGTGATAACATTCTTATATTAATGATACAATGATGTGCTAGCATTGAAGGCTCTCATTACCATGGTTACAGATTGCTAGCGAGCAAATACACACACACCTGTTAAGTTAAAGCTAGAATTCTTTATTGTTTATTTAACATAATAACCATTTCAACTAGTTTTTAAAATAGAGTGACCAAGGAGTTATTGCAAATGCAGTATATATACTTCCCAGATATTCGGTTCTTTTCAAATTGAATATGTTTTTGGTGTTTGGCCATACATCTCTGTGACGTTTGACTCGCCTTATCTGATGGTCTTTCGGATTGTCCGCTAAGTCTGCATATAATTTAGAGAAGGTGTTTCGTTAGACATTTTGCCTCTCGAATTTTTTATGTTTACAGCCCATATTTCAAAATTCTGCCCCCTTTTAAATGTTTCTATCCATAAAATGATGAGAATATCATCCCTTTCTCTCCAAGCGTTGTTCTGCACCCAACGCTAAGCACATTAACATTACTCTTTTAGCTGAGGTTCAAATACCAATTGCATCCTTTTGTCGGTCATTTTTCTTCTCCCTTTTTTCTCTTGAACAGGTCTGACTTTTTTTGTATATTTTACTCATTTGGGAAAAGTATTTTTAATATCTCAGATGTTTCCGCTTTCATTTAAAAATCACGCATTTTTGAAAAAAAAATATATTGAGGATATTATCATTCTTATCTGTATAATGCTTGCTATTTTTTCTACTGATCTATTGAGCTTATATTCTTAGTCTACTTGTTCGTTATTTGGTCCTATATAATTCAGAAAACAGTGAATGTGTAAGAAATAACCTTTTTGTTGTTCCACGAATAAACGTAACGTGACTATTTTCTTCTGTGCTTCCCTTGAACTGAATAAAACTTTTCGGTATTTCAACAAATGCCACGTGACTTTAAAAATGGCACAATTAGAAAAGTGCGATGATTTTAATGTTACTTATAACTATTCTAATAAGCAGTCTTTTAGGTGTAAGGTGCTGTATTCGGCTTCACATAGTTCTGTAATTCAACAAGGAGGTCATCTTGTATGTGGTTCTAGTAGCTGTCAGCCTCTGAACAACAAATACTTTCACTGCTTCCCCATGGAGAAGACTTGTTAGGAGACACCTGCCTACTACACCACAACTGGGTGCTCGATTAAAACGAACATAAGATATCTGGCGACTATTTAAAACCCGTTCATTATTTTGGCGTAATTGAATAGGGAGTATTAGAAACTATGACATCATCGGCATAGTTAATCATGAGTGTTTGTCCTCATCGTGGTATCCTCTCTCACCATATATGTGTCTCCTTAAAACACTTTCGATGTTTATTCCTTGCTGGACAGGGATTTTGCAATGAGAAATGTTTTCCCATGAATCTGAGTAAAAACTTTTGCTCTTAGATTCTACAATCAGTTGGAAGAAATATGTTTCTCAAAATATAATGGAAATATTTATTGTTTAATGTTGCTAATATATCTACAGTCGTTTTCGTAAGGATAAGGGCAAGTCCGATATGCAAAGCTGAGCCTCGCCCGAGCTTTATCTATGACAGGAGCCCGGCCGCCTCCATTACCGAATGTCAGCTGACTCGATTGAACCACTTTTTTTCAAGGTCCGTAGCCATTGGGCCGTAGGTGCACTCTTATGTTTTTACCCATGTCTTTCCACATATTTCTGTCAGCTGCCCTTCTTGTAGCGTCTACCATAGATGGATTTGCCCATTCCTGAATGTTAGACAGCCAGGTTTTCCTTGGTCTTCCCCGGCCTCTTTTTCCAGGTACTCTGTCATGCATTACGGTATTTGCAAGGCTTAGGGAATTGTGATTACGGGTGACGTGACCAAACCACTGTATCTTTCGCCTCTTTACCGCCGACAGCAACGTTTTTGGGTTCCCACATTTTTGTACTATTTCGTCCTTGACGCTCTCATTAGTTCTATGGGCAGTGTAAGGAATGCGCAGAATTTTTCGGTAGCATTTCATTTCGAAAGCGTTGATTCTTTTCTCCGACTCAACGTTGAGTGTCCACGATTCGCAGCCATAGGTCATTGTGGCTAACACAATTGCTTTCATGAACCTTGTCTTTGTTTTGACTGTGATGCCACTGTTCTTCCATATCGTATCTAACTTAACTAAGGCAGCTATTGCTATTGCTATGCGACTTTTAATTTCTGTTTGCGATTGTAAGTTGTAGACTGAACCACTGCCACAGCAGTAACTTCCAGACGACAGTTGAAACTTTTCGGACGCGAACCGCCGACGCCTCGGATGAGGGACCGACACGTTACCACAGTATTTTTTTTCTTCAGCTTCCATCGGGACCTCGGGGGGCGGTAAAAGATCGTCCCCCGCCTTCTTCCAACTGAACTGAGCAAATAACAGACTCACAGCAAAACAGCCTTCCAGAAAGGATCTGATATGCCACAGATTACAGGGACCTAAAGTTGCTTCAGTCTTAAAGGGGCGCAGACAAAACTCCACAAAGCCTCGGTCTGAGGAGAGCCAAATATCCAGACCCAAAATAAGAAAACAAACAATACCTAGTAGTTCAGGGAAGCTTTGGCATTTAATAGCACCATCAATGCGGTCACGGTCACAATTCTGTAAATTATTTTCAGCCATCTTGTGCCCAAGATTCAACGCCTCTTCCCTCCCGCCCCTTGTCATTGTCCTCTCAATCACGTAGTCGATATAATACCGGAAGTGAAATCCACGAAGTGTTTAAAATTCGGTCAACTCCCATGAAACAACAAACAGCCAAGGTTGATAGAAGAGGATGATGGCAGAGAGAGCAATGAATGTTTTTCTCCAGAACCTCATCTCTTCTTAGAACTAGAAGCAGCTCTCTTGCCTAAAGATGAGAAAACATGAGAGAAAACGTAATTAGGATGGTCGAACACGAAATCAATCTAGATGTTATATTAAAGTAGAACTTATTTTCCAGAGACATGATCTGATGCGTGCACAAGGTGTGCTCAGCCGCAAACCTTGGCAAACCTTTGACGTCGCCTGTAGTTTGTCTACCTGGCCTTATTCAGTATGGCAATTTAAATCATTTTGTTTATTTGTTATTTTCTTGATGTTCTCTCAAGGAGAAATATAAAATGTAGATTAAATAAAGATGAAAATTGTAAGGGAATGTTGCTCAACCGTTTCTATTTCTTAAAGGCGGATGCTGGTAACTGTCACTTACAATCACTTATTACACGAATATTTTTTCTGGGGCGTATACCTTTACGATTATAGGTCTACCAGACCCTCTTTGTGGAAGAGTGGTATTTTGATGTTCTTATATGTCAGAATAGCATTTCCCCATTTTCGCTAGATTAGCGTTTTCGCTATTTTCGTAAATGCAGCTTCCCGAAAGTCATTTTGAGAGAATGAATTGCTGTATATACAGTTACACAGATATATGTGTGCCCTTTCCAGATAACAATAAACAGAATACTGCGCTAAACCTTGATGGAGGCTTCGGAAGAATTAATTAAACTAGAAAGTCAGGCAGCCAAATCACATTTTTTTTTTCATAGGGAGGCCTGACAAGAAATTACATGCAGCAGAAATAATATAAGATAATAATAATAAAAAAACTGATGAATGAATGCAAAAAAAAATGTCTTGGATTCCTAGTGAATGAAGTGGCACGACCATAATCAGCATTCATTTTTTTGCAGCCTGCTAAAGGCTTGTTCGAACACTACCTCGTCTTTGTCATGGCTAGTCACTGTAGAAATCACTGAAAGTTGATTACCCATCACTAACCATGGCAAATGTTACACCATAATCAAGACTGAAGGTTATTAAAAAGGAAAAAAAAAATGCAAGAGAAGGTGGAAACTCGAAAGAAAATTTGTTAGATGAAAGAAAATTATCAGATTATAAAATGACACGTGATAATGTTGTAACAACTGTTGAAACTGTTGGCAACAGCCAACAGTTTCAAAACATTTTTGAGTCCATGGCCGACTTTTCCCATATCCAAAAACCCGTGGATCACGAAGTTTATCTACCAAATTATTTCTACTCTCTCTCTATCTATCTATATATCTATTTGTCTGTCTATATCTGTCTATCTATCTATCTATACAAATAGAAATATATATATATATATATATATATATATATATATATATATATATATATATATATATATATATATATATATGTAGTGTATATAAATATATTTATTTATATATGCATATGTACATACACACACACACACACACACATATATATATATATATATATATATATATATATATATATATATATATATACATATATGTGTGTGTGTGTGTGTGTGTGCGTGTGTGTATGTGTGTGAGTGTGTGTATGTGTGTGTGTGTGTGTATTTGTGTGTATGTGTGTGTGTGTGTGCGTGTGTGTATGTGTGTGTGTGTGAGTGTGTGCATGTGTTTGTGTGTGTGTATTTGTGTGTATGTGTGTGTGTGTGTGTGTGTGTGTGTGTGTGTGTATTTGTGTGTATTTGTGAGTGTGTGTGTGTATGCATGTATCGTATATATACAAACACACGCATAACACTGTGTAGAGAATCTAATACCTAACAGATTATAGCGTTTTAGGGAAAGGGCACCACTTTCATCGCTGGCTTAAGAAGAGCAGGTATTATAGTTTATCATAACGTTTATTTACAAAAATGCTTCTCCAGCAGCATATGCACGACAAATACTATTTATATGCTGACATGATATAAAAGAGAATGCTCATAGCATTTCAAAGGAACAGCTCTGAAATTACTCCAGAAAAAAATAATTTCATGATCATCGGTTTCATTCGTCAGGTTTTTTGGACAGTACAATAGCAAAATCATGCAATATACAAGTAAGCATAGGAGCAGTTGCACAGCCGTATGCTATATCACAGAATATCATTGTACACTTATGATTATATTACACAAATTACTGATATTTGACATCAGAATTAACTGTAATGGTTTATAAATGAAGTTATAACTTCTGTTCTTACAAATCGTTATTTGTTAATATGTCATTTCTTATGTATATACTTATGGTAGATTAACCTAAGCTTGTATTACATCAGTACTTAACAATTGTTTACGTAAAATAGTCAGAATGTTGTGATACACAAGAGTCCTGAAAAAACAACAACTCACAGTTGATCACTCATAAATTTTATATTTAATATGAATCACCCTTCATATGGCAAAGGCGCAGAAAATGTGATGTTTGAACATGTGTAAAGACGAAAATATATACATATATAAATGAAGCAAGGAAGGATAGAACTGGGAAATACACAAATATGCCGCAGGCCTTTTCGAGGTACTGCTTCATCGGGGACCTGGAACAGTAATAAAGCGAAAAGGTCTTCTGCTTATTAATGTATTTCCTGTTCTTCACTTCGCTGCTTTATTTGCAATTTGTTCAGTATGAATCATTCCCATACACATACACATACGTCCGTAAATAACGTCTTGAATTCAGCGTCCAAGAAGAGAAGGGCTAGTGTGTGTTTAACGTCTGCCTACCAGATCACTTAAAAGTACCCATTAGAGCAACGCCTCTATCACATTGTATCACTTGTTTTTATTTCGTAATATCTAATACTTAAAATCAAATTCAAGTACTGCCCTTTCCCAGGGACTAAATGAGTCGCAAGGGCACTTAAAGGTTTAGTGGAAAGCACAGCA